GCAGAACAGGTCCAAACCATGATACTACCACCACCATGTTTCACAGATGGGATCAGGTTCTTCTGCAGGAATGCAGAGTTTTCATTTCTCCAAACATTTTTCATTTAAACCAAAAAGTTCTGTTTTGGTCTCATCCGTCCACAAAACATTCAACAGTCTTCTGGTTTGTCCACGGGATCTTTATCAAACTGCAGATGAGCAGCAATGTTCTTGTTGGAGAACAGTGGCTTCTCCTCCAAGCTGCCATGACACCATCATTGTTCAGAGTTCTCCTGATGGTGGACTCATGAACATCAACATTAATGTGAGAGAGACCTTCACTTGTTAGAAGTTACTCTGTGGGCCTTTGTGACCTCACTGACTATTACACTCCTTGGAGTGATCTTTGTTGGTCCACCACTCCTGGGGAGGAGAACAATGATCCAGAACTTCCTCCATTTGTACACAACCTGTCTGACTGTGGATTGGTGGAGTCCAAACTCTTTACAGATGTTTTGTAACGTTTTCCATTCTGATGAGCATCAACAACTCTTTTTCTGAGCTCCTCAGAAATCTCCTTTGTTCCTCCATGATCCACTTCCACAAACATGTTGTGAAGATCAGACTCTGATAGATCCTGTTCTTTAAATCAAACAGGGTGTCCACTCACACCTGATCATCATCCGTCGATTGAAAACACATGACTCTAATTTCACCTTCAGATTAACTGATAATCCTAGAGGTTCACAAACTTTTATCATCACAAATTTATAATATTGGATCAGTTTCTTCAATAAATAAATGACCAAGTTTAATATTTTGTCTCATCTGTTTAACTGGGTTCTTTTTTATCTACTTTTAGGACTTGTGTGAAAATTTGATGATGTTTTAGATCATATTTATGTAGAAATATAGAATAATTATCTAGAGTTCACAAACTGTCAAGCACCAATTTGTCCAACCATTTGCTTTAATGTTTAATGAACACAGTAAATAAATTGAAGAAAGGTTGTATTTTAATTACAATTTTTATTAAAGTTTCTTTTTTTGCTTATAGCTGACGTTTTGTGTTTTGACTTTATTTTTCAGATTGAACCATCATAACTGGACAATTTCAACCTCCTCCTAAAGAATTTGCTTGGAAATTTCTGAAACGTTCTTTAGAAAATGCATAAAAAGTTAGTATTTCTTTAAATGTCATGTACATGTCCTACATGTGACTTAAACAACTTTTCATACCTTAGAATTATTATAAATGCAAATAATTGTGGGGAAAAAGGAAAACTGTATATTTAATGAGTATTTGAATTAATTAAAAGTGGATTGATCCCTAACACTGTTTAAATTAGAGAATAAACATTATTTAACACTGAAGGCCTATTTAGTGTGTTTTTGTTTTTTCATTTAGTTAAAGAAGCAAAACAGAAATAATTATTGAAACCTAAAGGATATCAAAAATAAGTCTGTTAAATACAAGTAGGGTAAAAATTAAATTACAACAGATTAAATGTGCCGAAGTTTCAAAAAGAAAAAAGAGAAACTTCTACAGTTAATTACGGGGGTTGATCATGGTTTGGGCTTGGACGACAGCCAGAGGCACGAAGAACGTTTTACTGCTCGGGGGAAGAATGTTTCATAAAACAATATAGTAAATTCTTCAACCCAACATCACGCAACCTGCAAAAAAAAAAAAAAAAAAAAAAAAAAAATATATATATATATATATATATATATATATGTATATATAAAGGATTGTGTCTTTGCTATTTTGTTGAGTCCAAAGAAAAACATTTAAAAATCCCCATAAAGGCCATGTCTTCTCTCTAAAAACATCAGCATATGTAAGAATTCTCAAAGAATCCTCATCAGTGGAATATTTCACAGTAATCACCTTATTTTTATATATTTTCTCATCTCACCGAACCTAAAACCTGTTCATAATATCAGGGGCGATTCTAGAGTCTGACCTTTAGGGGCGCATAGCCCCCAGTGCTGACAATGGCTCTTGGCTTGAACACCGTGGTGGCCATTGGTGCCAGAAGCATTCATAATGTGGGGGGGGGGGACACACGGGGTGTCATCCCCCAGAAAATTTTGAATAAAGTAGACGTCATTTCCTGCATTCTGGTGTATTTTAACGGGTTGATAAACATGTTTACCTACATAAGTAAACACTTGATTCAATAACTATTTTAGAGAGCTCGGCACAACAAGAAGTAGCGCCAAGTTAGCGGCGTTCAATACAGACGCGTTAGCTAAGATGCTACCGTGGCGCTCTGCTTTACATGACACAACATAATAAACACTTTGTGCAAAATCAGTTGAGTTTTAAATGATCATAACAAACAAAGACTAAACTTATGCAACCAGAAGTTACAACATATATCTACATTTGAAACACACAAAACAAAACGCAACTAGCTTCAAGCATTAACCTTTAATTTAACCATTAATCATAACTACTTCATACAGATGAACATGTACTTCCTGTTTATCGCTGCTGTTTTCAGCTGCTCATGGGGTCGGCCGCTGGGCGTTATCATCTTTTACATTTTTCCAGACTCAGTTTAGGTTTTGGAAATGTAATAAACTGTATTCCACTCTCTAAAGCAGGAATATTCAACTAAACTGCTCAGGGGGCCACAGTTACTGAAAGCAGCAGCTCAGGGGCCGAACATCCAGTAATTAAAGTCATTATGTAAATAAACCAAGTATTACAACGATCTGTTACCTTTTAAATGTGTTTATTTTGTTGCATTGAATCATAAATGTAATTAACAGAGCGCAAAGTCGAAACCCTAAACCACCTATAAAAAAATCTGGGATGCTGCGTTAAAATTTAGGGTGCTTGAGCCCCCCCCAAAAAAGAGGCTAAAATCGCCACTGCATAACAATGTTATGTGTTCGCCAGCTGCAACACATGTATTTCCTTTTTTGAGAGATAATTTATGACCAAGATTAAATGAAAAATCTCTAAATAAAGACAAACTTTTAAAGGATTTATGTCGCTGGTGATGAAAAGAGAAACGGAGAAAGTTTGAAGGGACGTTAAAATCAGGGGTTGACTTTTAATTTCAGAAACAGAAACAAACCTGCAGCGAGAACAGGTCCACTCCTTCACTGCTTGGAGGTCTGTGTTCACTGCAGGCCTCCACAGAGTTACAGATTGTAAAATATATCCCAATAATCATCATTAGCTTGAATTAAATGTAGTTTTGTGCATCAGGAAATGACTCATGAAGCCCATATAAGGAGTCTCCTCCTTCCCTTTCTTTCCCTTTCTACCCAAAGAGTGTTCACCCTGCGGGTCTTTATGTGTTAAATATTCTGTTCCTGAGTGTCTGATGCTCAGCACGCACCCTTTGGGTGTTACCAATCCAGATTCCCTCGGGTGTTGAGCTCGCACACACGTGAACAAACAGATAAACAGCAGCATGCAGTCCTGGACTCGCTCCGTTCATAGGAGTGGTGATTAATATGCAAACTTCAACGCCGTTTGGTTCCTGTCAAACTGTGATCCGAGGGTTTCCTGTCCGCAGGAAGTCGTGGCACATCTTAATATTTTGTTTCCTGCAAAGTCATTGTGAAAGAGAACATTTTATTTTGGCACGCTCTGCTCAATCCATTCGAGCTCATCGCTTTCCTCATGAACCGCTTGCATAATCCTGTTTTGTGTCAAGCACAAGGGGGTCTGAACAAATACAAAAATATTTCATCCTTCATGTGTTTTGCTCTTCGAGTTTCATTTGAAACATTTATTGTACACCACAACATTCCCTCTACTATATTCACTTCTTGCAAGGAGCATTTTATTGAGATTAATTGATGAAAATCTCTTTATGCAGCTGGATTAAACAGCAGCTGTAAAATTAATCTTCATGTTCATGTCAAGGTATCACAATATCAACACAATAAGCAGGTCATTTAAAAACTAGTTTCAATCCAAAGAACCAGATTATGGAATAATCTGGAGAGTGATGTTAAAAATGTCACATCAATGACAATTAAGCGATTGATCAAAGTTGGTTTGTTAAAAAAAAAAAAAAAAACTTAATGCGTATTTGTACGAATTGTTGCTCGAGAAGGAGTTATTTATTTTGTTTTTGTTACTTGAAGATTATTATTGTTTGATGTCCTGATGCATGCTCAATAATCCAGGTAGAAAAATCTAAAAAATTATTGTTTGAATTTTTTGTTTTGGTTTGTTTTGTGGAAAAAGGGGCAGATGTAAGATTTTTCCTTCTTTCTGCTGCCTTTCATTTTATTTGCGATTGTATTTCTTCTTGTATATAGAATTGTTTTGTTAAGTTTAAAAAAATTAATTAACTTTATTTTTAAAAAAAAGGGGCTTTTAAAATGTGATTGTTTTGAAGATTGTTTTTTGTGTTGTGGCGCATCAAGTAAATTAAATGTTGCTTTTAGTTTAAAATATATATTTTTTACTTAATTCCTTCTCTACCTTGAACTCAATCAGCTTTGTATAAAAGAAAAAAGTTAAAAATCGCAACACACTGACGTGAAAAACTTTTTAAAAGTAAAACCAGAACATAAATCCTATTTAACTGAAATCCTTCTGCTCTTATTTTTACAACCTTAAGTTAACTTGAACACATTTGTGAAAATTTCCCAATAACCCAAGAAACCAAAACTTGTAGAAAAGCCATGAAAACAAGGGGAGGTGACAAATTGATACTGAAGAACTATTAACATGTTAAAACTAAACTCCTCTCCTGTGGCATTCTCAGAGTCATCGTGGAACCATTCACACCTGTGACAGTCCCAGTCTCACTCTTCTTTATTTTATCCTCTTTCTGCCACAATATTGGGAGTCAGAAACCTCCTGCCTTGGATTGTCATGCAAAACAACCCCCCAGCTACACACTCTCACATTCATACATGCAGGTTTCTCTCACCTGTCCTATCAGACACCTGTTGCAGAGCTCTCAGCCAATCAGAGGGGAGAGGCAAACTGTGTTGTGGCATGAAATAAATCTGGGCCCTGTTCAGTTGAAATCACTTCAGTTGACTCATCCCTGCGATCCTCTCCGCTGCACGGACTCAAGAGGAGCGCGTATAAACAAGGAGTTGAACTCTAAAGGGAAATATTCAGACTGACTTGGACTGGAGAGATGACCAAAGAGACTGCGTAAGTTCTTTTTTGTGCTACTTGGGCTAAAGGTGTGCGTCTGCTTTGGTGCCAAATTGTACTTTTTCCACTGTTTCCGTTGATCCTACAGTAAACGGCTCATATTGGTTCCAGTCTAGGTGAACAGAAACACCCGTAACCTTTTATTTGCAATGAGACCCCCATGTGAAAAAAGCAGTTTTTTTTTAATAGGAGGGAAAATGATATCGGCTGTATGAAACACACACAAGTTTGGATCTGTATTTGTGGTGGGTCTGTTACGGCGTCACTAACCTAGAGGCCACAGAGCACAAAAGGATCCTGGGAAATAAGAATCTCCTCTGGAGCTGTTGGACAGAAAGCAGTGACAGCATGCAATGCATTGAATTACATGACGGCGAAACCTTAGAGAATAGAGTCCACCTTATCTCTGCAGAGAATCAGATCCTGGTTTCTGGAGAAAATGCAGAAAAATGCACAGAGTCGTGCTGATTTGAAACTGTTGCAGCGTGCGTGAGAGACAGGTGCATCTCTGAGCAGGTGTAGGGGAACGTTTTCACTTGGATAGAGGAGGAATTTAACATGCTATTTTGGCACCAGAACATAAACACGGATAGTTTCTTGCTTGGGGTTTCATCGTTCTGCACCTTTTAATTCTTGTGAGAAATGATGGGATTTGCTCCCCGTGCTGTGGTCGTGAATAGCTCACCTGTCAGCACGTCCTATTAACTGTTTGTTCAGGTTAAACTGCAGCTGTTTGTTCATTAGCTGCTGCAGACTAACACCAAAAAAGAAGGGGGGCTTAGCCTGGCAGACATGTTTACCTCCCGATGTCACCGAGAGTCTATCTAAACAAACTGTATCCTCACGATCCCAGCCTGTAATTATTTGTGAAATGGAAAAGCAGAGCAGTTGTGTCTTTCTGTTCGGAGTCCTGTCAGCCCTGCTGAGATGTGCGTAAATACGAAAGTTTATCCAGGATTCAAGAATGCGGTTCTTTCTCTTTCACGCTTGAAACCACAAAAGACTGCCTATGTGTGCAAATTGATGTGCTTTAAAAAACCCTTTTTTTTTGGTTACGCTTCTGCTCCTGAGGGATCTTACTCAGTTCTGTGGTTTTGCAATCGAAACCCTCCGTGCTTAGGGGCAAGTATGCACAGTTCTCCTCAGGATTCGGCTGCAGCTGACTCTGTTCTGTCACATCACGATTCACCAAGATTCATTCCAATTAAAAGAACCGACTGACTTCTTAAAAAGTGTTTTTCAACCTGTTTTATCTGATAAATCTGTGCTCTTTCAATTCTCCTGCAGGACTCTGGGACTGGTCTTTCAGAGCGAGAACTTCAGCTACAACCACTATAACAACTACATAATGGACTCATGGTCCTACCTGAACAACCCTGTTCCTGAGCCGAACCACCCCAAACACAGACTCCACCCAGCAGACAACTTTGCAGCATTAACAATGCTCCAAGAACACTGCAAGGTAAATACTGTGGAGTTTGTTCTTGTGCTAAACCAGATGTGTTCAACTTTAGCCACAAGCCTAACTTCCCCTGTGTCCATGTGTGTTTCGGCTACTTTTTTCAGAACCAGAAGGAGCAGAAAGGCGCCATCTTCACTCGCACCAACAACATCTGCAAACCAGTTGAGAGGTGAGTCCACAGATCTGAAAATATCTCACCTCTGACACGAGCGTCTCCTAAAAATTACCCTACATGAAACAATCAGTTCACTTCTCTTTGCACCCGATGACATTTATGACAAGACTAAGTCACAAAGAAAAGGTCAGTGCTTATAGGGAGGTCATAAACTCATGAGTGGATAATCCTTTTGTCAAACAGTCGGAGGGGTTCATCTCTCCATCTTCTTCCCTTCTGACAGTTTCACAACTGATGTTTTTTCTTCCTGTTGTTGGGTGGGTGGGAAAAGGCCATTGTTGGGGCTCAGTGTTGTCCCCTCAAACATATTCAATAGAGAAACTCAAACACAGATGGGCGAGGGGGTGGGGGTTAAGAAACAAATGGTTCCCAGTGGTGTAGACTACGTAATACTCGGGTATACGGAGTATACCCACTAGAAAAGCTTAAGAATTTCAGTATACCCACTTAAAAGTGCCCATTGATACATGACATATAGGTACGTGTCATTGATACGTTAAACCATGTGTCGAACTTAAGGCCCGGGGGCCAAATGTGGCCCTCGTTGACATCGTTTCTGGCCCCCAAGATGATATGTGAAACGCAACATATTTCCTTCTCTTGAATTTTTTCAGTAATCTTTGATTATGATGTAAAAAGCACAACAGAGAACATCAAATGAGACCAATCAAACTCTTGTTGAGGAACCTGTGACCAAGAAAAGATGCCGGGTATCTGATTTGAATTCATGTAGATTCTGAAACTGGCCCTTAGTTTGAAAAAGGTTTTGATTTTGGCCCCATTTTGTAAGTGAGTTGACACCCCTGCGTTAAACACTTCCGTAACAATCTATTGGTACGCAGTGCTTTGCTTTGATACTGCTTTATAAATTCTATAACATGTTTTTAATACATAGCCAACTGTTGTACAAAGTTTGTTGTTCGTTTATTCAAATATAAGCATCAGAGAAATTTGAAAATGTTCAATGTGCTTAAAAATCTAAATACATTGACAATTACATTGTACTAACCAGTGTACTTTGGTTTCTAAGCACAGTATACCCACTAGGTATGTGGACTACACCACTGGTTCCCACCCAGATGCAAAGTCAGTCTTTCTTCAGTTGCTGAGTGCGCTGCAACGCAATTAGAGCTTCAACTAACTGCTGTACATTTTGTGCAAGTGACGTTTAGGCACCCATGATGTTTGGGACTCTTCAGGCTCAGTCACGTCAGAGTGGAAAAGTTTACATTCTATTTTAAGTGTTTTCCTGCTTTCCGTCCTCTCAGGAGTCTGAGCAACACCAGTGAGCTTATTTCACTTGAGACAACCGCCAACGTCATGAAGATCCTCTCAGAGAGCGTCCCCGCCTCCCATCCCCAAGAAGTTCTGGTGTCTAAGTCCATCCCCTCCATGCCCATTTCTGCTCCTGCCAACTCGGACACGTACACCAACCTGACCAGTGTCGTGGCAGACACGTACGATAAGCAGGAGCTCAACAACATCTTTGAGTCCCTGATGCAGGGGAATGCTTTCCCTGACCCCAGTGCTGATGTAAGTTTGATGCCATTCATAATAATAGTAATAAAATACTTCTGTCCTATGCTAATGAATACACCCTGTGTGGGATTTAGACTCTTTCCTATGGTGACCAGTTTGCTGACAACACCTCCAGCCCGGTTTACTCAGGCTCCTACACCAGCTCCCCCCCAGAGAGGTCCAGGAATGAGTTTCACTTCACCCTCGGATCTCCTGCAGCTTCCATACACAAGTCCAATGAGTTACCAATGGTGTACCTGAACAAAGGCCAGTTCTATCCCATCACCCTTCAGGGAGTGGACAGCAGCGCCTGCCTCACTGCTACCAAAGTCAAGGTGAGTCATTTCCAAAAGTTTTGTTTTACGTTATTTGCGTGACTTACAGAACTCAGTGGCTTTTGTTATATTTTTTACCCTAAAGGCTTTTTATTATTTTATGGCACAAATATAATTTTTTTGTTTGTGTCACCTAGCCAACCCTTCCCAAAATTGCGTCCCTCCCTTAAAGCCGGCACATTTGGTGACTAATTCCCTGCTGACACCGCACTCCAGAAAACGACTGCATATGACCTTGTGCAATTTATCCCTACACACTGAAACAACACCAGAGTGTAGAACGGCTCAGCTTAGTTGTGTTTGTCTAAGTGTTAGAAGAAGAAAAGAGGACAGGAGAAGGTGTGGTGCGCTTTATGGCTCTTTGTCAGTCGAATCAGAGGAGAAAGGAAGGATTTACTTGAACGAATGAAGCACATTGGTGGTTAAGAGAGAGCTGATCTGGTGGAAAATGTCAGCAGGTGTTAAAAGTAACAGTGGTTAACCTTGTGCTCGATGTTTCTGTCTATTTTTCTCCGCCTCAGACAGTGGTGATGGCTGTTTTTGAGAACGACAAGAACCCAGAAATGCAGCTCCGCTTTTGGAATCATTGGCACGCACGCCAACCAACCGTCAAGCAGAGGGTCATTGACATTGGTATGTTCTTCATGAGCCAAAACACATATCTGTCACTACGTATATGCTCATTTAAGTAAAGTGCCTCACAGTATTTTCTTGTACTGTCTGCTAAGAATTTAATTGCTTTGCTCTTAAACAGCCGACTACAAAGAAGTGTTCTGCGGCATCAGCAACGTTGAGGAGGTGGCCTTCAACGCTCTCTCGTTTGTGTGGAACCCCAACGAAGAGGCCAAGGTAAACACATATCACCCGCAGATCTTTATATGTAGTGCTGATCGTGGTGGTGATCTATCAAAAATAAAAAGTAACAGAACAGGTGAACTTTTTACGAGGGAGGCGAGGGAACGAGACAAGGAGTGGCTGAGGGACGAAGAGGAGGAATGCATGAAATGTGTTTGCCCCTGAGGCTCCTGTCACCACACTAAACAAGAGTCACTTATGCGTGCTTCTCTGTGGCCCAAAGGTGCTCAGGCGAGGCCACCAAACCTGCTGCAATAGGGACGAGAGTGAGGGACAGATGGTAAATTATAGACAGCCGGTGTTCCAGGGTCATACAGCTCTCACTTCATCTGTTTTGCTTTTCTTTTATCGGTAACACTTTACAATAAGGTACACAAAATTTGATTAACTACTAGGGAATGCCTCAGGAATGAATCAGGAACAAATCAGGAGCTAATGGGTAGTCAACCAGTACTTACTGGGAAGCACACAGTCAAGCCTTATTATGGGACTACTGGTTAGCCATCTTGTAAATGAAGAGGAACTAATCAAGAACTAATGGATAGTTACCAAAGAAACCAAAAATGAACGAATCAGGAGCTAATGGATAGTTAACCAGTACTTACTGGTGAACACACAACCAAGCCTTATTAAGGGACTACTGGTTTGTTACCACAGGAACAAACCAGTAGGTAATGGTCAAGTAGTGATTAAGTAATGACTGTTTCCTCAGTGAGTTCTTGTTATGATGCTTCACCACATCGGTGAACAAAATAACAGCCAGGCAATGATTTGGTACTCAGTAAGTGATAGTCAGACATAGTTAAGATGACACCAGTACAAGATTATGAAATTGTTAATGTCTTTCATCAGTAGGTTTACAAAAGAGAAAATCCAAGAAAACCAGTAATTATTAGGAAACAGGTTTTTGACAATTATGAGCTGTGGCCTCACTGGTGCAGGGTTTATTCAGAACCCACATGGAGAAGTTCTCCTGTGTTTCTGTGGTAACAAACCAGTAGTCCCTTAATAAATCTTGGCTGTGTGTTCCCCAGTAAGTACTGGTTTACCCATTAGCTCCTGGTTCATTCTTCTTTGGGTTCCTTGGTAACTACCCATTACTTCTTGATTAGTTCCGCTTCATTTACAAGGTAACTAACCAGTAGTCCCCTAATAAGGCGTGGCTGTGTGTTCCCTAGTACATACTGGTTAACTACCCATTAACTCCTGATTCATTCCTGAGGAGTTCCCCAGTAGTTAATCAAATTTTGTGTATCTTATTGTAAAGTGTTACCCTTTTATCTCCAAAACTTCTTTTTTCCTAATGCGGACAAACAAAAGCTCATTGTCCTGATGTCTTCTTTTGTAGATTTACATTGGGATCAACTCGCTGAGCACCGACTTCTCCTCTCAGAAAGGAGTGAAGGGTCTACCTCTAAACCTGCAGATTGACACCTACGACTTCAGCTCAGGCAGCAACCAGCTCCTGCACAGAGCTGCCCTGCAGGTCAAGATTTTCTGTGATAAGGTACTTTAACTTTAATTCATTCAGGATTTCTTGTGCAAGCAGTGAGAAAACTGGTATTTCAGTGCCATTTTTGTAATCGTGTCTTTTTTTGGTGTGTGTGTGTGTGTGTATTCAGGGCGCAGAGAGGAAGATGAGAGATGAGGAGAGGAAGAGATCCAAGAGGAGAGGAAAGAACACTAACGATGCAAACTGTGAGTAATGCTCTTTGTTTAATTTCAAAAAGCACAGCTACGCTTTTCAAGAGAAACTAATATTCTTATATGTATTTTCATTTTGCAGCAAACAAATCATTAATGTGTGGCTCAGCTGGTACTGAGTGCACCTACTTCAAGACCCTGGAGGACCACATCACTCAGCCTGTTCTCTTCATCCCAGAGGCCCACCTTTCCACCTTACAGCGCCTGGTAGGTTCCTCGTTAATCCTCCCCTCTGCGCTGTTCCTCCCCCCATCCTTCCCACCAGCGTGCAGGTGATCAAACAGGCACGAGCGAGGCAGTGGGGGGAAAACTGTGGGAAAGTATGCAGTGGGAAAACTGTTTTTCTTGGGAGCCAGGGGTTGTGGGGTGTTAATGACACCAGTGAAAGTGAAGTTAAACGCAGGCCTCAGATCAGATAAGCTAATTGGAGACGAAACCAGACACAAGTTCAAGCCGCTGCAGCTCACGCTCGATCCACGGCACGGTCGCCCCCATGTTCTCAGAGCCCTTCACTCAACACAGTTTCAACAACAGCGGAGTGAGGGTGTTGTTCAGACAGGCCAGGTTTCCCACACCCTGGAGCTTTCACGGATGGGTTTGAGCATCTGTGTCGGCAAAAAAAGACCATGAGTACAGAGCGAGAGCAAAGACGGACGCATCTTTGATTGGACAGTTTCAGGTCCTATCTGTGTGTCTCCATCAATGTGCACATTTAGAGCTTCGTTAGTGGTCACGGGGAATAAACACTTAATAAGAAGCACCGCGCACAAACCATGTTGGGTGGAAGGACATTAAGCAATATCTATGAGTGGAGCTGTGTCTAATCAGATCTGTGGCTTTCTCTTCTCGTCTCTTTAGGGCTCTTCTATGGATGAGAATGACAGGTAAGCCCAAATAAACAGAAAACAGCCTTCATCTGTCAGTCCATTAAAGAATGAGCCTGTGGTGGCTGCTGCGTCTCTAACAAGGCTGTTGTTGTTTTGCTGACAGGAGTTGTCTGAAGAGGTTGTATCCAGACAGAGACCCGAGCAGCTCTCCACCCAACAAACAGACCCGCAGAGAAGAAGCACAGAGAGGTAGATGGAAAAACACAAGTCTTCTGCTGATGAGGGTTTTGGTCAGTTTTGGTGCTAAGTATACCTTCTTGCTCTCTGTTAGTTCTGCTGTACGTGAGGACGAGCACTGAGGAGGTGTTCGACGCGCTCATGCTCAGTTCGCCGACACTCTCGGGCCTACGAGAAGCTGTAAGTATCGCACGAAAAATACGAATCCCTTTGTGGTCTGATTTTAGCTCCAACATCAACCCTGTTTCTGTACTTTCCACAACTGTATCATCTTTCTTTGAGAAGGGAAGCTTACACTCGTCTCGCATTTCTGTCCTTAGATTTCCGAAAAGTATGGTTTGCAACAAAACACCATCGGAAGAATCTACAAAAAATGCAAACGAGGGTGAGTTTCTTATTGTTCCCTTTGCTATTTAAGCACAGTTTAGACTGCTGATGGTAAATTATAGGAGTGCAACTGACACTGAAGATGTGCATGTGGTTTAGTTTGTGTCTTTAATCTTATTCTTCCTTGAGCAAACATAGTGTTGACGGACCGGGTTGGTAGGTTTAGTTAGCTTGGTCCTCTGGAATGTGTTAATTGAAGCTCTTCCACACACACAAAAAAAGAGGATGAAAAGATTTCACAACCAGGTTGTGCTTATGAGTCATGAGTAATTGTTCAAATTATTGATGTTTTCATAACCGTATCTTGTTGGAACAGAAGGAAGTGACATTTGAAGCGATGCCTACTTTTGATAAGTGCCTTAAGGCTTCCAGTTACAAGCTAAAGGTTGTCCATCAGGTTATAGGCTGCCACATATCTGAACGATCAGAGGATTTTTTCGAAGAGCAGCACACCTGTTGCAATGAACCTGGGTGCAAAAACAACTTCCGCGTGTTTCATTTCTCTTGATAAAAGAAGCACGCATTTATTTATCTGTATTCAAAAAGACAACAAGGTTGCGTGCTAGCTTTTGAACCCATCAGAGTCGCCTTGTGTGCGACATCGGTCCGAATTATAGGCCCTTTCTTGTGACCTCCTCACGCAGCACCTTTAGGTGGTTTTCCTGTTGTTATTTGGCAGCTATCACTTCAGGGGAATCAACCAAGCTAACAGGTTGGGTAACATTCTCCTTGCAGTTCCCTCCCTCCTCGTTTTGCTCCAGCCTTCAATCAGTGCAGTCCCCGCAGGCAGAATGCGTGAGGCGCTGGTTGCTTCAAGCATTAAAGTGGTAAAGATTTAAAGGTTGGGGAGGGAGACTATGACTTGTTTTTATTATCCCAACTGATCCAAACCGGAGCAAAAAGCCAGCTATAATCAGAATAAGCTTTATTATCATTGTACCGGGATACAGTGAAATTATGTTTGTATAGTCGTCCGAAAGATGGGCAGCGTGTACGTTGCTGCTGCTACAGGAGCAGCAACGTACACTTTTTAGAAAGACAACGGTAAAAGGCCATGAGGATGGATAGTGGTATTACAAAAAAGATCTCTTAACATCTTGTCCTGTCAGGACACGATCTGAGACGTCAAAAAACTCTACCAGTAAACACGTCAAGACGGTGAGGTTTGTCCATGAAGCACTTCCAGATAGGCCATAGTCCTGCTAAGATGTTGGTGTCAGCCGGTACAGTTCTGATAAGCCGGCACAGAAAGAGCTTTTCCTTAGTTTACACATGTCCCAGGAGAAATTTGATAAGTCGACCTGCTTCGAGGCCAAACGGGGGAGTCAGATTCAGATAAGACACAATTGTTGGTTTTATTCAGGCAGATTGTTTTTTTCTTGTCAGCCTTGATAATAATGTGTTAAATTAGAAGATAAAGATGTTAGAATTAATCATTGAAGTAATTCATCTTTTGTGCGTTTTTCTGCAGAATATTCGTCAACATGGACAACAATATCATCGAACACTACACCAACCAGTCCGCGTTCCTCATCGAGATGTCCGAGTTAGTCACCGGTCAGTTTCAGATCACGCTCAATGAAGTATGAGGACGATTCGGATCGGAGGACGAACGATCACAGCTAGTTGAAAGAAACATACACCTCTAAAGCACTGCCATGTCAGAGACAATAAGCTGTGGACTCCAAAACCAAAACAGGAAACGGACTGAAGGGACATCTCCAGATTTTCAGACGTCACCAAAAAAAAAAGTTAAATCATTTCGTGATTCAGCCCAATTCCTGTGGTTTGTTTTATGAGTTTAAGATTGTAATGTAAGCGCATTTAGGATGACTCGCCTGTACATACGTGTAAATAGATTTTAATATTTCAGTGTTTAAGGAACTAGCCATGTGCGTGTCGCTATCCATTTTTCAGCAGCGAATTTCAATTTTTATTTCCAGAGCTTTGTGCATGACCAGTGCACAGCATTTTTTTTTTTTTAGCATTTTGTTATTCTTGCTGCTTTTAGTGTACTTAGCATTTCTCTTACTAGTGCATTATCTTAACCACAATATTACTTTGAACAAAAGTATCCTCACGTAAAGGTTCCTGTTGGTTCCCCCAACTAAAACTGCTGGATCGTAGGTTGCATTCAAAACCTAAAGTCAGACATTTCCACCCAGAAATCCACAGAAGAATTAGTATTGGACGTTTTTTTATCCCAAAGTGTTTGACATTTCCTACTGTATGGTGTAACCACACAAAGAGTTAGAATCCCCGTAAACTTTAATACTAACCAGAAGACTTTTTTTTATTATGTATGTGTGTGGAATAATGTTTTATATATATTCTTTCCTTTTACGTAATGCATCATTTCAAAGCAGTCCTCTATCCCTGAGCTATTTCAGTATCACTCCATGGTTCTACTGGTCACAAACGTCATGTATTTCCCCTTTTGTAAAAAAATAAATAAAAACAAATGCTTTAAATGTCATTGTCTTTGTTTTAATTGCTTTGCAAAATAATTTAATTCATAACGATCCACTCTTTTCCATGGACGAACTGTGCAGAGAACAATGCAAAAACAAATTGCAACAGTGTCGTCAGGTCCTCTGAACGGATTCTTCTTTGTTGAACAAAACTCAACAAAAAAGTGGTTCCTAGCCCAGGTCCTTGAGGAACACCATCTTGTATGTTTAAGTTTCCCTGCTCCAGCACACCCAATTCAGTGATTTAATTACTTCATGTCCTGCAGAAGCCTGTTAGTTATCCATTAATTACAATCAGGCATGTCGGAGCAGAGAAACAACTAAAACATGTAGGATGGTGTTCCTCAAGGACGAGGGTTGGGAACCCTTGAGGACCTAACTTAACACTGTTAGATTCATCTACCTGGATTATTGAGCATGCAGCAGGGTAAACAAATTGTGTTCAAGTGAACATTAACAGCTTGCAAAAGATGAAACAGTTGCTTAAAATAAACATTTTAGGAAATCAAACCAAAATTTTAAACTCATGCACATGAGAAAGGCTCAGTCTTAATTTGTTTTACACAGTTGTACAACCCCAAGTCCAAAAAAGTTTGGACTTCATGTAAAAAAATCACAATGCAGTGACTTGTAAATGTCATAAATTTTACCTGTGTTTATGGTGCCTTTTAGGTTGTGTAAGCTGCTCATACCAAGGGCACTAATGCACCCCTATATCATCAGAGAGGCAAGCATTGGAACTATACACTGAGAGCAGTCTCTCTCTCCATATTTTGATTTGTCTGACCACAGAACAGCTTTCCTCTTTGCCTCAGTCATTTGTAAAGGATCTTTGGCCCAGAGGACACAGGCAGCATGTCTGCATCGTGTTCACATACGGAGCTTCAAACAGCATTTGTGAATGGCAAGGTGAATTGTGTTTACAGACATTGATTTGAGGGCAGTGTTGCTGAGGCCATGCAGTGATGTCCAGAACAGAATCAGTGCTGTTTTCAATGCAGTGCTGCCTGGGGGGGTCTAAAGATCCCAAGCCACCTTTCTATACAGCCTTTCAGATCTGCTCACAGACATTTCCCCTAATTCTTAAAATGTGTTGATGATGTGATCAACTGTGGATTATGGGATACTAGAAGTATTCTCAGTTTCCACTGAAGAACATTGATCTATTTATTATTCTTTTACTCCTCCCCTTTATTTAGATGCATAATTTGCAGAGTGGTAAACCTCTGCCCATCTTTACCTCTGATGGATTTATTTACCCATCCATCCATTTTCTTTACCCACCTTTCCCTGTTGTGGGACACCTGATGCCCATCAGTCACTGTGTGAGGCAGGGGACACACCTAGAGACAATTTAGCTACCAGTTTACATATGTACGTTTTTGCTCTGTGGTATGAAAACAGTTGTACCAAATTCAAAATCATCTTACATTTCTAAATACAATTTCTTATTTTAAACATTTGACATGTGTATTATGTTCCAAAGTGAATATAATGTGGGTTAATGAAAATTACAAATCATTGCACTCACGTACATTTTACACATCTACAACGCTCCAACTTTTGTGGACGTGGGATCGTGTTGTTGTGTATAGTTTGAGTAATAATTGTTTGTTTTTTTCCTGCTATGAATACAAGTTCTGTAAAGTCACTGGAATTGTTGCTCTAAGACTAATGATTTTGTCCTGTTCTCTTTGTGCTGTGCAGCAAGTAGCACGTGCACGTCAAAGCTCTTTTATCCGCTGCACATCGACTTTGGCGAGGAAAAGCAGAAGACACTCTGTCCCAGATATAACAGACATTCTTCAGCAAGTAAACGAGAGAGACATACGCAGAGAGAAGGAGAGGCAGCACGGCAGACAGGCAGCAAAGCAGCAGGACAGACGGGGACAGACACGAGGACAGCAGCACAAAGACAAGGCAGGTGTGCAGAAATGTGGCGCCAAAGACAGAGCAGAGAGGGAGCAGGAATAAGGAGGTGGCTGCACCATCTGTTGCCAAAGAGAGAAGCATGTTAGCGATTCAGCCAAGAGGAGCAGTCAGTCTGCAGTGGGATGCATGAAACCCCTCCTGAATGGTAAGTGACAGACTGACCATTGTGGGCTGGATCTGTGTGCGTGTGCATGTTTACTCGAAACGTGTCTGCTTTAGAAGTAAGACTGCTAATAATAATCTTTTAACCCGCATCATTTTTAATTCATCATCCGTTTCTATGGAGATGATTCCACATCTTCCCCTCTCCTCATTTCTGCATTAAAGGGAAACCACGGCTTCGAATCAATGCGTTTGATTGTGTTTTTGAAAACGCACCATGTCAAAAGTTTAAGAGGCAGCAATAGAAAACGCTGCATGGGGAATAGCAGAAGGTTTCTCTTTACCAAAACACTAGGAATGCAAATGGATTACTAATCTAATCCAGACAAAAGGGTGCATCCGATCCGATGGGCTATCGTCTGATCCCTTTTTCATCAGGACTGAACGCACAGCAGCAAAACAGGAAGTCGTTAGAGACGACATGACTCACAGCAACAAGTATGTGTTTACCACCATGAGTTATGGAACAACAAACAAACAAACAAACAAAAAATTAACAGTAAAAGTTTAGGGGGACGAAAAGTCTTCAAAGGTTGTATTTATGTATATGTTGAGAAGGATATTTTATTTTAAGAAGTGAGATATAAATCAATCAACCTTTATTTATACAGGTAAATCCCATTGAGCCTCGAGGACTCATTTACAAGAGAGACCTGAAAATAAATAAATAAATAAATAAAAACCACTTGAAAAATTTGGTACTTTTCTGTGATTTTAAAAGACTTAGTAATAAATTTAATGCTAATGCTTCTTTCATTTTCACTTTGTATTTAGAGACGTTAGTAATGTAGAAAACAACAACAACAACAACAACAACAACAACAACAACAACAACAACAACATAATAATAATAATAATAATAATAATAATAATAATAATTTAAAAAACAATAATAATACAGGCTCCAATGACCCTAGCAACCCGAAACAGAAGAAGCAGGTAAAGATAATGGCTGGATGAACAACAACAACAACAACAACAACAACAACAACAACAACAACAACA